CTTCGTGTAGTCAATGTTTTGACGTCAGATCCCATTGCATTGCTTAATTTGCATTTTAAACGGTTTTTTAATTTCTTGATTTAAAAAAATATATATGGCTGATGATTGCCGCCAGGCATGAAACTCTGAGTACCAACAAAAAGTTGTATTTTTTTCATTTTAATACTAAATAATTATATATATATATATATATATATATATATATATATATATATATATATATATATATATATATATATATATATATATGTATATATATATATATATATATATATTAGGGTGAGTCATAAAATTTTTTTTTAGAGTTGCTAACCTGGCTATGGTATAGAAAGTTGTTTTTTTATGTACTAATTTAGGAAAGTATTTACTTTTATGGATTGAACAATGTCTTCCACCCGCAACTATAATTACAAAAATTAGCAGGCCCTATTATTATTCAAAAAAAAAGTTTTTCAAAATTATGTGATGAATAAAGGAATAGTATAACTGTGTGAATTGGTTTTTGTTTAAAATACCTCTAGATTTGTATAGAGTTCCAATGCTTTTTGCAGCGTTATTAGAAATATTATCGATGTGTGATCTCCAAGACAGATTTTCTTCAATAAAAAACTCCTAAAAAAGGAGCATTTTTACATGTTTTTTAATAACAATTTTTTTCGGCAATATAATTTTTATAAAACATTTATTATTTTCGAATTTTTTATAAAATTTTGCTTCTTTTGAGTTCCAGGTTGACCTACTTTTGAAAACCTTTTTTCTCCAAAATATAAGGGTACCGGTAATTTTTTATATATATATATATATATAACAATACCATTATAAACACCTCTACACATTTTTAATTTTTGATATAACTGAATTTTACCCATCGATTAATGTAAAACTACTTAGCGACGCAATAGAGTTTGCTGGTCAGCACCTAGTTATAAATCAAGAAAATAGGAATTTTATTATACACGCGAGAAAATCTTTAATTTTTACCAATGGCGATTCTTGGATTAAAAAAAAAACGAAGAATTATTTGATTTAACTATGGATGCTTATGATGGTGCAGAAGTATGCAAATTGGTTTGAACTTTTATTTTGCATCAAATATCTCAATATTACAACGGGAAGGAATTAGGTTTATATCGGGACAACGGTCTAGCTTTTTTAGTGGCCAACAAATAGAAAAAATAGAAGAATTTTCTAAATATTTTTAAAAGCAATGGTCTCCATTTATCTGTTAGCTGTAATGTTAAAATTGTCAACTAGCTCTACTTAACAATAAACCTTAAAAAAGGTTCCTTCCAACCTTACTCAAAGCTCGATAACATTCTTAATTATATACACACCGATTCTAACCACCCTTTATGCATATTAAAAAGTCTACCGCGAACAATTGAAAACAATTGCCAAACGTTAAGTCAATCATTAATTCGCATAATTAAAATATTTTATACAATGATAAAAAAAAAACAGCAACAAAACTGCAACTGCATCAATAAATCTACTTGCATTATGAACAACCAGTGTCAAAGTAAGAACATTGTGTATCAGGCTACTGCTTTATCCAATAAACCAGATTACACAGAAAAAGTTTATATTGGTGTTGGCGAGGCCCCTTTCAAGATTAGTAGATTTATATACAATTTTCTTTGACGTTTTCCTATAAAGACGTCAGATGTCGCTCCACTGTATTTTGTAATTTTATTACCGGTTTTTTGTTTGTTTTTGATATAGTACATGGCTAATGATTACCGTAGGCATGAAACTTATAGTCCCATAAAAAGTTGTCTTTTCTCTATGTATATATATATATATATATATATATATATATATATATATATATATATATATATATATATATATATATATATATATATATACATATATATATATATATATATATATATATATATATATATATATATATATATATATATATATGTATGTATATATATATATATATATATATATATATATATATATATATATATATATATATATATATATATATATATATAAATCTATTTAGAGCTGTTTACTTTTTTATTATTGAGCACTTTTAACCGAAATAGAGTTTTGTATTATCATTGTAATACAATAATATATATATATATATATATATATATATATATATATATATATATATATATATATATATATATATATATATATATATATATATATATATATATATATATATATATATATATATATATATATATATATATATATACAAATGTAAAACATCAAAAGAAAAAGCAAGTTTATCCTTGATCAAATGTATTTTGAGTATAAGAAACCATATCATATTGCCACGAAACTTGTCTTTGATGAGAATTGAAGAAGTCTTAAAGTCATTCCCTAAGTACTTTTGCATCACGAAAAAAATTATTTGAGCCCAATTGTTTTTGAAAAGTTGTTAATCCTTGGTAATGTGAAACATTACGTCGACATTCTCCAGTATGCAAGCCAGAAGATGTTTCATAATCCATACATTTTAATGGCAATATTGATTTAATGGTTCAAACTGACGACCATGCATAAAGTAGTATGATAATATTTCCTTAGTATATAGTTTTGTTAAGTAGTTTTTGAGAGGAAATGCCTTATCTACAATAAGATCGTAAGGCGGTTTTATGTTTGAACTAATTGGCTTGTTAGGTTTTGGGATATGTAATAAGTTTGATTTAAAAGCAATTCCTATTTCAATGTTTTTAAAATACACCATCGTCTCTGTTTCTACTAGTATCACAAATATCAACAAGTGTGAATTCATAGTTTGCATTGCAAATGGCCATCAAAGCAATTGAGTGAAACTGTTTGTGATTAAAGTAGAATGAGCCTGATCTTGAAGAGCATGCATAACAATATGTTTCCTTCAATAGCCCCTATACAATTGTAGAAGCTCTATTTCTTTTCATTTGCTATAGCTCTCTATTCATTTTTGCCTTTTGGAAAGCTTTCATATTGCTTAGTCAGCAAAATAGTCCATACAGCTATAAAGGTTTCGTTTATTGTTCTTCTTATGGAAGTCGGACATATTTGAAACATACCAGCTGAATCTATTTGTAAAGTGCCTCCAAACCCGAGTAGCAAACAATATTGGCGCAATATTGTTTATATAGTTTACATAATATGAACAATATTGCTCCAATATTGTTTGCTACTTGGGAAGTGACCATTAATCGTTCACTTGCTCCAATTATTTGGCGTCTGAGAGAAGGTTTTGTAATCGCTTGTACAATTAGGCTTCACAAATGATCATACTTTTTAGAAGTCATTCTAAAAAAGTTTTAAAAGTATTCGTGATTAAAAAGTTGCATATCTTTTATAAATAAACTGAATGGTCCTTTTTTTAAAATTTTTTTTTATAATTTTCTGATCCACATACGTTTTTTATACGTTTGAATTTAAATAATACTAACCGACTTAATTGATCAAAAACCCGGCTGTAAAATAAAATTACCTTCTTTGTGTGGGTGGAACTACCCTTACCACACACACCCTCCCACTAAAATCGCCTTTGTAGGCAATCTTTAACCATAAAAAACTTTAATTTTTCACACTCACTCTACAAAAATAATACACAATAAAATATTTTAATCTAAAAAAGATCTAAATCGAATTTTTATTGGTATTTATTTTACATTATGTCAAAACAAAGAAGAAATTATTTCATAGTAATATAAAAATATTAGTAATATTATTAAGTAAAGTTTCCAGGAAAATTTCCGGACATTTTTACTAAATAATATAACTAGCATTTTCATATTACATTGAAAGAGTATCCTCGTTGTTTCGACATAATGTAAGGTAAATAACAATAAAGATTAGATTTAGACGCTTTTGTTTATCTTTAATAGCAAGAATATTTTTAGCTTCATAATTTCGCTCATATTTTAGAATTAAATTTTTAAAACCGCTATCATTCAAATTTACGGATGCGAGTAATCTTTTTTGCGCGAAGTTCGCGCAAAAAATCTACTTGAAAGTTGCACAAATTTTTCCAATGGTTTAAATTTTCAAGTAACCAAATGCAGAAATGATTAAAGTAATATATTAAAAATAATAATACTAGAAATAAATTTCCAATAAATAAAAGATATTGTTAAGGCTATAGTTAACTTCAGGGCTAAAGACACGTGTTGCGGGTTATAGTTTTTTTTTTACTCAACAATATTACTAATATTATTTAATAAAATTATATGTTAATTAATATTATTATATTAAATTTAATAATTTATTAAATTTAATATAATAATATTAATAATATTAACTAACATATAATAATATTAGGTAAAAAAACAATAAATAATAATATTTAATGAAATTATGTAAATATTTTTTTTTTTACTTTTTACTTAGTATTAGTAATATTTTTAATATTATTTTAAATTAAAATTTGATAAAAATGTTACTAATACTAATAACTTATACAATAATAATAAAGACATCGTTTGTGGTTTATAGTAGTCTTTTTACTTCAAGTTATTAAGTTTAAATATTATTAAGTAAAAAATTTACATATATTACTTATAATATATAAAAATTTTACTTATTTAATTTAAATAAGTAAAATTTTTATATATTATAAGTAATATATGTAAATTTTTTACTTAATAATATTTAGTAAAACTTAATAACTTTAAGTAAAAAGACTACTATAAACCACAAACGATGTCTTTATTATTATTATATAAGTAATATTTTAGGTTAAAATGTACTATAATACTATTATAGTTAAAAGGTACTATAATACTATTATAATTTTTCTAAGTTAAAAGATACTATTAGTATCTTTTAACTTAGAATAACGTAAAATTATTGATATTATAATAATAAATACACCTTTTATGATTGATAGTAGTCTATTTACTAAATATTACAATGTAAATATTTTACTTTATGATACTAACTATAAAGAACTCTATAAGTCTAAACAATGCTTGAATTATTGAGAATAATTCACAAACTTTGTTTTTATAGTTTTTTAGTAATATTTTCTCAATCATAAGTTTAGAAAAATAATAATAAAATGGAGAAAATGGAAATTGTTGATCCAAAGAAATTAGCATTGAGAAAATACAGAAAAGGAAATTTGATGATTATGTCAGGTTTAGTTACTGCTGTTGGGGGAATCTGTATCTTTTCCAAAAGATGTATTTAAATTTTTTTGTTTTAAATTTTAATAATTTAAAGTTTTAATATGTTATATATTGGACTACAAGTTATAGAATTATTTCTATATAACATGTTCATGGCTAGTAACTTTAATTGTAAGTTTTGATCATTGGTTTTCTAAAGTTATTTCATAACTTCTGTGAATGTTATTAAAGAAAATAGCCTATTTTTTATATATATCCCAAACCATAACCTTAATTTATTTATAGATAACCTTATTGGAGTGTACATAGATTGACTGACTTACATACTGAGGGCATCCATTTGGTGTTCATACATCAATTGACTTGAATTGGGAGAACATACATACAGTTTGTATATATTGACTGAAGGATTTTGCTGGGTTTTTTGTTAGTTTATTAGTGTTTGATATAAAATGACAGTTTATTGAAAATAATTCTACAAATGTCTCAACTACTGTAAATTTTCACACGCGTGGAATTTGCTGACACTATTATAAAAAGAATTCTTTAGAAATGATTACTTATGCTTTTTAAAAAAAAATATTTTTCAAAAAGGGGGCTTTAATGTTGTTAATAATTGTATGTTTTATAATTGAGTTGATGTTTTTAAATAAATATAGATCATTAAATTTTTTTGGTAATAATTTGATGTTTTTATTGCTATGCTTATAATATATTTTTGAAGAAGGTCTGTTAAATGACTGTTCATCATGTTTTTTGGATACTTTAAAGTTTAAAAAAGTTTTTATTTCTAGTATTGTACTTGATGTTATTAAGATTAACCAAATCAATATTTTTTAATAAGTTCATCAGAAAAAACTTTGTAGGTTGTATGCTATTAGTTATTGATTGATTTGAAATATATTTTTACTTTAAATATTGATTTTAAGTAGTGAAAATAAAATCATGTGTAGTATGCATTGCTAAGGCTTTATTTTTTTATCTAGTGTAGTAAATTTTATCTATATAGTGTAGTAAATTTTAGACTTGAGAAGTAATCAAAGTTAGGTACTATGAATGTTTTTAAGAATTGTAAACAAACTTTGAAGGCTACACCAATTATATTTGTTTATAAGATTAATTATTTATTTGTTTTTGCTTTTATCTCTTTAATGTGTTCAGTAAAAAATAATTGCTGTTAATAATAACACCAAGCAAAGAAAGTTTATTAACTAATTCAATTTGGAACTTATCACCTTTATCATTGCTTTAGTTTTATTTAAATTGATGTCAAGTTTATTAGCACAGTACCACTCAGTAAATTTATTAAATGCTGACTGAGTTTTTGTTATTAGATGGTTAACAGTGGTATCACTTTTCTTGACTTAGTGTTCCACCAATAGCAGTTTGAGAAGCTTCAGTTTTGATTTTAAGTGAAATATTTAGGTAAGGTGTTGCTAAAGATGCAGTGGTTTCTTGGTCTTTTTAGTTGTTTAATGGCAGAGATAGCTTCATCTGAAAGTGGGATATTTTTGCTTATTGAGTCACAAGAGTTAGTCCACAGTGTTATAAAATAGGTTCTAACCTTAACTTTCTGACCCAGGAAAACCCTTTGGTGGAATGATAGCCCTTACTATGATGATCACTTAGATAAAATTATCAAAATCAGATTACAACGTCCTGACAAGTTATTTACATTTAAAATTTTGTCCCAGTCAGCGTGTTTTAAATGTTTAACATACGTATTAACATGTGTTAAAACATATTATAAACAAATAAAACACGTCTTGTGTTTGATAGAATGTTTTGATTGCACCAACATGCAAAATGAGAGCTTATTTTGCTTTTTATAAATTAAAAATCTCTAATGTCAAGCTCTTAAGCTTTACTCAGACACAGTGTTATAAAATAGGTTCTAACCTTAATCTTCTGACCCTGCCTAACCTTAATCTTCTGACCCTGCCTAACCTTAATCTTCTGAGTAAAGCCTAAGAGCTTGACCATGTCTATCGATGAAACCTTTTACATGAAAAAATACTGCATGGACCTTGGGTGTTACAGGCACATTTTGCCATGCCAAATAAGAAACTATGAACGTTTCAATTATTTGTGGGTCTAACTACCCACAAATAATTAAGGTTGCATCCAAAACAGCCAGACACTACCGCATTGAATTTTTGAAAACATCAATGAATGGGATGGCTGCATTGCGTTAGTATTTCTCAGCAATTGATTGAAAAATATCAATATTGTGTAACAGCTTTCTGGACTCATTTCCTGAAAAATGTCCACCATGGTAAGGTTGTTTAATGTGTAATGCATCAATCCAAAGAGTTGCTCAAGGAAAAACTTAAAGTAGCCCAGTAAAGAGATATAATTAGGAGACACAATTCCAAGTACTTGATGCCCACAAATAATATTTGCAAGTTTTAGATCACAGGGCATGACAAACTCCTGGTTTTTCAATTTAATTAACTCAAATACTTGCAAAACGTTATAATAAATTTCTTGAAGCTCCTCAGAGACAGCAACGATGAGTTGTTATTTTACACCAGTGTCCTTAAAAACTTTGCTTGTGCAGTTTAGTTTTGCTTAGAGAATGCTAGGTTCATGATTTAGTTCAATAGCTCCAAGGCTAACTTTCAGAAACCCACCTCCTCTGTCAATTCCAACTTTTAGAAAGTAATTTTTTGATGCACTTCTCATGGCTCTAATTTTCCTTGTTTATATTGATGTAAATTGGAGATTTTTAATTTATAAAAAGCAAAATAAGCTCTCATTTTGCATATTGGTGCAATCAAAACATTCTATTAAACACAAGACATGTTTTATACATTTATAATACATTTTAACATATATTAATACAAGTATTAAACATTTAAAACACGATTTTTGTTAACTGGGACAAAAATTTAAATGTAAATAACTTGTCAGGACGTTGTAATCTCATTTTGATAATTATATCTAAGTGATAACCATAGTAAGGGCTATCATTCCACCAAAGGGTTTTCCTGGGTCAGAAAGTTAAGGTTAGAACCTATTTTATAACACTGTGAGTCAGAATGGTAGTTAGATTGGTGCAGTTAGGGATCAATTTAGCATAGTATGCAAAGAAGCCTATTAAGCTGTTTAATTGTTAAATGTTAGTTAGAATAGGGTATTGTTGTAAGGCCTGGAACCTTTTGGGATCTGGTTTCAACATTCTGTTTCTATTAGGTGTCCAAGAAAACAGAGTGAGGTTTGAGAAAACTTACACTTTTGATTGTTTATTTTCATCCCAAATCATCTAGATAAGGGTAAGTTTTTTGTAGTTTGAATGTTGATACAAAATTATCCATTTTAAATTCATACAACTTTCCATTAGCTTCAAAAGCGATCAATTAATAATCCTTCTTTTTTAGTGGGATTTGGTAGTCTATTTTACTGAATATACTCTTTATAGCTACCTTATTTAGTAGGTCACCTATTCTATGACAAAGGTACGAATCTAGTATGTATATTTATGGTGCCAGAGAAGTCAATTACTAGACAAGGTTTTTTTGATAGGTTTGTAACAAAGCATTGGGCTCTCCAGGGACTTATACTGATTTGAATAACATTATCATATAAGAGCCAAGTAATTTTTCTATTAATAAAGTCCGTATTCAGATTGTGTCATTGTGAAGATGTTGCAAAAGTGAGTTTAGATATGTCGATTACAGGAATAAGTTAATACAGTTTACATTTCATGGAATATAAGGCAAGGCAGAATTGGATTGGTACATGTTTTCTTTCAAAATAAAGTGTCAGAGCTGAGTGTTTATTTAAAATGTTTATACCAATAATAAGAGGTGATATTAGTTGTTTTACTGCAAAAAGTTTAGGTAAATAGGAGTGGTTTCCTATATTTAAGGTACTGTCATATTGGCCAATGATTTGTGCAAGTTAATTATCTGCAAGACAGATTGATTTCCTGATATTTGTGTTAAAGTTAAGATTAATCTTGACATAAAATTTAGAGAGATGAATGATAGGTCAGAGTCTGTTTTGATAAGGGCTTCTACTGTTATTCCATTAACTATTGAATTTATAAGGCCTAGTTTTTGATTTATAGAGGCTAAGATTGTGGCCATATATGGGATGATATCTTGGTTGATCTCATTATTGCACTTGTAGTTTATTTCCGCACCCTTTATAGGTGTTTTATTTAAATGTTTTGGTTTTATGCTGTTGTTTTGATTTAGTTAGTTACTTAAGTAGACAGCTGCTCAGTGCACTTTTTTTCCACAGGTAATACAAGAGTGTTTTGTGGCCGCAAAGATAGGGCATTGTTCATGTAGGGAGAAAGTTTTAGTGTCTTAGATTGCTAGTTCCATAGTTGTTGCTGTAAGTAAAAGTTTTTCTAGTGAGTCATTAGATGATTCTTAGAGGCGTTGACGAATCATTGGAGATAAAAGGCCAGCTACAAATGCATCACTAATTAACATATCTTTATGTTTGTTTGCGGTAAGTGGTTTTATGTTCATTTGCAGTTAAATTGGGATTTTTCTTACTAAAGTTCATAATTTTTTCCATGAATTGGTCAACAGACTCTAATTCAAGTTGTTTTATTGATCTTAACTTGTGACACATCATTATAGGTATAGTTTTTTTTGAAAATTTATTGTCTAAAATAGTTAGTGCATCCTCAAAGTTCAATTGATTTTTGATGAATGGGAAAGATTTAGCGCCATATAGAACAATTAAGACATCTAATTTATTTTCATCTATTACTTTAGCTTTTAAGATACAAGTTTTAGCATTCTTTTCCATTTTAGATATTCTTCTTTTGATGGTTCATCTTTAAGAGTTTTAGGGAATATTTTATGATATATTGTGTAATATGATAAAGTAATAATAAAAATATTTAAATAAAAAAATATAACTTTTTTTATGGGACTTCAAGTTTCATGCCATTCGGCAGTCATTCAGCCATATATTTAAAATCATTAAAATAAAAACTGTTATAAAAAATACAAATTTGAATTGCAACGAGATCAAACGTCAGTTTTCCAAACAGGAATTTATTTAACTTGTGTCAAAATTTGATTGCAAAAACTTTTTTCTGTGCCTACATGCTGAAACCAATTCATTTTTTTTATTTAACAAAGGTTTTTTATTGTATGTTGAAATAAAATATTTCTCATTTATGCAAAGATTACACCTTTTTGAGGATGGGTTATAGGGTTGACATTTTTTAACAATACTCCACTTGATTATTGGTTTAATGCCTTTATTGGTTTAAAACTAATAATCAAATGGAGTATTGTTAAAAAATGTTAAGTTCCCGTTTGGCGCAAAAACTTACGTTTAATCTTGTTGCAATGCAATTTTGTATTTTTTTCAACAGTTTTTATTTTAATGATTTTAAATATATGGCTGAATGATTGCCAAATGGTATGAAACTTGAAGTCCAATAAAAAAAGTTGTATTTTTTTCATTTGAATATTTAATATATTTTGATCTACTTTATAAATATTGATCACTCTTAAACTGATAAAGAGCTCTATTAAATCCAACAGAATGCAAGACAACTCAATATATATATATATATATATATATATATATATATATATATATATATATATATATATATATATATATATATATATATATATATATATATATATGTATATATATATATATATATATATATGTGTGTATATATATATATGTGTGTATATATATATGTGTGTATATATATATAGATATATATATATATATATATATATATATATATATATATATACACAACTCAATAAATATATATATATATATATATATATATATATATATATATATATATATATATATATATATATATATATATATATATATATATATATATGTTGATTTGATACAGCTCTTTTTTGAGATTCTGTTGGATTTAATACAGCTCTTTATCAGTTTAAGAGTGATCGATATTTATAAAATAGATCAAAATGTATTAAATATTCAAATATATATGTATATATCAACCCTCAGAATTAGGTTGGCATTTGGCAATGCCGACCTAACTGCTGACCTAGAAGTGTTTGAGGTTGGCAAAAAATTGTCAACCTTGTTTCTATGTTTTATGGTCAAACCCTTGTTTTACATTTTTTTGCCAACCTCATGCTGACCTTACACAGAATAAAGTTGTTAAATTATTGCCGACCTTATTTTTCCTAATTATGAGGGCTGATATATATATATATATATATATATATATATATATATATATATATATATATATATATATATATATATATATATATATATATATATATATATATATATATATATATATATATATATAAATTAGTAGAAAATCACCTAACAAATTTTTTTTTTCATTTTACACTGTGTTACATCAACAAAGACTCATCAGAAAAATTATAAAAAGAAAAATAGATTTTCTGATGAGTCTTTGTTGATGAAGCATAGTGTAAAATGAAAAAAAAAATTTTGTTAGGTGATTTTCTACTAATTTATAATTGCTCTGTTCTTTTAAGAACATTGAGCACTCTTTTTTGTAGAATACATTTTTTAAAATTGTTTATATATATATATATATATATATATATATATATATATATATATATATATATATACACGCACTTCATATAGACTTTCTAATTAATATTATTAAATATCTAATTAATTTCTTTAACAAAATATTTATAGTTTTTTATACCATGTACAGTGTTTCTAAAGGATCGTTTTCAAAAGAAGAATTAAATTCCAGAAGTAAATAAGAGATTTTTCCAAAAAGCGAAAAGGCATTTGTGTATAATATACAGAAATAAATTTGTTTGTGTATTTGTTTTTAATTTTTTTCTTTTGTTTTTTAAATTTCCAGTACTTTATTTTTTTAAATTTGTCCTAAAATCACCATCATAAAACTTTATTACATAAAATACTTTTATTTTTATTTATTAATCTTAACTACACAAACTTAGAAAGAAGACTGTTTAGTTTTTTTTTTTTTAATGTTAATTCACCTCCCTAAGGTAGAAATGGTCACTATATTTAAGGAGGCTACTATAATTGTGGTTACAACCCTCTCTAAAGCAAGTTGGCAAGTTTATGATGACTTTTTTATGATGAAATTTTTTACATTTATTTTATTTTTCTCGAAGATGTTTTATTTATATATATATATATATATATATATATATATATATATATATATATATATATATATATATATATATATATATATATATATATATATATATATATATATATATATATATATATATATATATATATATATATATATATATATATAGCTAAATGTAAGTTAAAAAGTAATCACGAGTGATTTGAAAGTTTTAATTTATAATTATGATTTTTCAAAAATATATTTTTTTAATAGGTACTGACATTAGTCAAAATTTCATTTATTTAGATGTTTGTTATTTTAATTCCCCTAGCAATGCACATAGCAACCATGGGCGTCCCAAAGGGGGAGGTGTTGGGATGTCCCACCTCTCCCAAAGCTGTAACTTAAGTTAGCACATTGAGCAAGTTTTATATATATAGTTGGCAAATTGCAAATATTGAGGACCTTTTTTTTTTTTTGGTGTTTCTAGTTGGCAAAAAAATGCATACACCCCATGGAAGACCTCTTCGAGGCGGCCCTGATAGCAACTGTTTTTAAGTACTTTTTATTCACCTTTTTTAGCACTATTTTGATGTTGATTTTCAGATTTATGTTTTTGCAAATAACTTTTTGTTTGTATAACTGACATATAGACATAATGCTGAGAAATCACGAGGTTCTTCCAGTTGACTTTCTGATTTTGCATATTGATTTACATTCTTGCAAAAAATTGGTTCAAATATATTTTTACTTTTTAGTTTTATAACAATTTGTTATTCTTTATAAGACAATGTTGTTGCTGTTTAACTATATATTTATTTATATAGTATATCTAATAAGTTTAAAAATGTATATACAAATTGAAATAGAAAAACCATCTCACAAACTTTGATCTAAACGAGAAAAAAGTTTCATAGTAACTAACACTCTTTCATACGAAAGTTTTGATCACGGTTATCAAATTTACAAAAGGTATAGTTACTACAGTTACTTAATATTCTCTGGAGTTATAATTAAAGATAACAGTGCAAAACAGTTTCTGATAAGAACCTAAATGGTTCAAACGTTGAAGTAATTGATGACTGTTGTAAAATAAAAATATTGCAGGGAACCAAATAGTTGGGATGACATAGTAATCTGAGGTTTTTAACATTCTTTTGTTTTCAGAATGTGCACATGTACGCACTCAATAATGTGCGCATGTACGCATTCAATAATGTGCGCATGTACGCATTTGATTTAAAGTTAAGTTAAAATTTTAGTTAAATCAATTTATTAATGAATCCAAAAAATTTTAAGAACTAAAAAAAAAAGCAAAAAAAGTAAAATTGAAATTAAAAGAACTATTGAAGATTTTAAAGACAGGATTGCTGAACTAGAAATCAGAAATAGAAAAGCTACAAGAATCAGGAGCAAATATAGTGAGCAAAAAGTTAAAATATTAAAAAAAAAAAAAACTCTAAATAAAAATTGACATTCAAATAAAAAGGACATACAGAACAGGAAGAAAGCATGAATCTGGATAGAAGTAAAGAAGAAAAATTGAAATCAAATTCTTAAATTTTAAAGGCAAATAAACAGTTTAAGACAAATATAAGACTCAAGTTGTAGAATGAAAGTAAATGAAGATTTTAGTGAACAAACATCCAAAAAAAAAGAACTCCTTTTTTCTCAAGCAAAAGATGTCAACTGAGATCCATATGCTAACTTTTTTATTGATGTGAACCCATGTTGTTCTTATCAATATCCCAATTAATTAAAAGGATTTCTTATTCAAAATGACATTGATAATGAAAAAATCAGAATCCTCCATATTAATATTAAAAGTTTAAATAAAAATTTTGAAAAATTTTGAAATTATTTAGGTGAAATGGGAAACATTTAAAATATTATTTGCTTAACGGAAACTAGGATTTCTTCAAATGAATATAAAAATAATTCTATTTTCTGGTTATTAAACAATTTTCTTAGAGAGACAAACATTTTCGTTACGATTTTCGTAAAGGAAAACATTATATATAACATTAGGAATGGTTTGTCCTTTCTGATGGTGATAAAGGAATTGTAACAAAAAGTGGTCTATAACAACGAAAATTTTTTACTTATAGCCTGAAATTTTTCATAAAGCTAACAAAGAAAAGAAAAAAAGTTTTGTAGTTGGGGACTTAAATATGGATTGTTTAGGATATAGTGAAAACACACACACACACAAAAATTTTATGATGAAATTTGTATATCAGGAGTGATACCGCTGAATAATTGCCCTTCTCAATTAACAGAAAACTCAACCACCCTAATTCATAATATTTTAACAACAGATATAATATAACACTGACATTTCTTAACAATTAACTCAATTTCATCACCTAATAAAAGCTGTATAATAAGAAAACATATTTTTTAATAGAAATTTAAAATAGAATTAATTTAATAGAAGCTTAGAAATATTTAAGCATTAATTATCATTACTAAACTGGAAACATAAATTTTAATGATAATATAAATGCTATCTATAATGAATTCTTTAATACATTTTACACTGTGTTTGATGCAAATTTTCCATTCTCTGAAAAAAATTTTAAACCAAAAATCTTAAATAGTCCTTGGATTACCAAAGGACTTAAAAAAATCTTCAAAAATTATATACAAAATAGTTAAAAACGAAATCCAATTCAAATCTACAAATTTATAAAAGCTACAAACTTTTATTTTAAAAAATTCGTAAAAATTTTAAAAAAATGTTATTACTCTAATCTAATTACTAAATATAAAAATGACTCAAAATATTTATGGAAAATATTAAAATAAATAACAGGAAAACAAAATACCTGCTCAAATATCCTACCAAAAATGATAAAATAAACAACATATGTATATGTGAACCAAATAAAATAGCAAATGAATTTAATAAATATTTTACTGGTATTGGAAGTAAACTTGCTAATAGGATTCCTTCTACTGTTATTTCCTGTTATCATTTTTTAAAATCTACCAATAATTCACCTTTTCACTATGATTTATTGCTAGATTTATCAATTAAAGAGTTTGAAAAAGCCTTCAAATCTCTAAAAAGAAACAAAGCAGTTAACGCGGACTTCTAACATCAAATATGGTTCTCTTGTACACTACTAAATATATAACACCTGGGACATCTGTATTGTACAATGACAAAGCTATTTTAAAACAAATTTGTTCTCTGTAAAACCAATATCATTCATAGGAAGTTCTGCTCAGAACAAGTTCAAATCAAGAACATGGTGTTTAATATTTTCATTATTATATTTTTTTATTATTAAAGTGTTTTAAATAACATTCAAGTTATTAAATTTTTTTTTTAATTATACGTTTTGTTTTTATTTTTAATTTATATAGTATATCATATTATAAGAAAAAAAATATGTGATATTTAATTATTATATAAAACTTAACTATGATATAAATTTAAATGGTTGTAATCTGAATTGATATAAAGTTTATTTAGCAAAATAAAATATAAATGTTTTTGCCAACTCCATCATTACGCCAAGACCAAAATACTTTTCATGTGCTGGTAAGGTGTTTTAGAGAAATTTATTCTGATGAAACTATCACAAAAGAAAAAGTTCAAAATCTTGTGACATCAAAGTATAGAGACTCCAGTAGTCATGATGTTTATGTTGAAAGGCTTGAAGCGGTATTTATTAATATCTTGTTTTCAATCTAATAGTTCTATTTGATATATTAAAGTTGAACTTTTGATAAAATTGTTTTAAATTAAATTTTTTCAGAAAATATATATACATACACACATATATATATATATATATATATATATATATATATATATATATATATATATATATATATATATATATATATATATATATATATATATATATATATATATATATGTCAGGTCAGGTCAGGAGTATGGTCTTCATGATCATCCTGCTACTGGTAACATGAAACCCAGTGCAACCTGTTCCATGTTCTGCTGCCCTGCAGGATTTGTTTTCTAAGCAAAGGCTGGAAGGAGTGTGCTTCCTGTCATCAGTACTATCTTATATCAGTCATGCCTATAGTAATATATATATATATATATATATATTTTCATTTTTATTTTGGAGGTGCCTTAGTTACTGTATTAGCTCACCTGTAATCTACTTTACATGTATGTTTGTGTTCTGTCTGAACCTCTGGCGCGTTGTTCGCTCTCCTGTAAGTTACTTTATGTTTTTTTATGTATGTCTGTGTTCCGTCTGAACCTATGGCGCTGTGTTTGCTCACCCGTAAGTTACTTTATGTTTTTTATGTTTTTTTATGTATGTTTGTGTTCTGTCTGAACCTCTGGCGCGGTGTTCACTCACCCATAAGTTACTTTATGTTTTTTATGTATGTTTGTGTTCTGTCTAACCCTCTGGCACGGTGTTGACTCACCCATAAGTTGATTTATGTTTATGTTTGTTTCTGTTCTGTTTATTCTCTGATGCAGCATGAGCTCAGTAACTAGCTACTTACTCCAACTACAAAACCTACACTCACCTTAGACTCCTGTATTTTGTTGGATGCAGCGTAATGCACTTCTAAAATGTCATGCCTGGTTTTCTCAAAGAACTGTTGCGGGAAGTAACTCCTTTTAACTACTCCAGGTCAGGTCAGGATAATCAAGATCAATCTTAACCCACGTAACCCAGTACCACTTGCCTTAAGCCCTGCTGCCTTGCAGAGTGTGCTCTTCTTAGGCAAAGGCTAGGAGAAATAAACTCCGACTAAAAATTCCCCTGCCTTGGGGCTCTTGGTTGAGTAAAGGCTAGAGATGGTGTCTCGATAAAAATACTCATCTTGGGCAGATGTTAACTGCATCCAGCTACTGTCTTGTAGAAGGCCTCCTAGGCAAAGACTTTAGGGGTAAGCAGAAATATTCTGCTAACCGGCCTCAAACCCCTTCTTCATCTGTTAGGCTAGCGTAGATGTAACCTGTGTTACATTGTTTTCTGCCTAGGATGATGAATGCTGGATCTCCTTGACTCTACTCATAGAATTTTGCTTATACCTCCTTGATAATGGCTATGCAACTCTTCCTGTTATCTCCATATGAGGGTACAGCTCTAAAACTCAGTTTAATGGTTCTGAGGCCGGCTGGTAGTAAGGTTTCCCGAACGCTGTGGCAAAATCAGCTGCAAAATATCAGAGTATTAACAGTGCCATGTTGCGCATGGATGGTGTCCCTGTTAATGCTTTTGGTGTGCATTGTCAAGGCCACATAAGGAGCCCTATGTCACGGCTTAGGGTTAATTAACAGGACTGAGACAACTGCATAGCTCATTGATTAGGAGGCTGTGCACTATCTATGAATGAGTCAAGTTCTCATTAAACCCAAATCATGACCAAAGTAACCAAAAATTTTAAACCTAAAAAACGATCCCCACCACCTTAAAGTCTTACCTTCTGCAAAATTCACCAGACTTGCTTGCACTCAGTGAAACAAATTTAAATTCTGCAATTCCTTCTTCAGATGTCAGTGTTGATGGGTACTATCCTTTGATTCGTAAAGACTCAAATAGTCACATGCTAGGTTTAGGGGTATACATACGCATTAATTCCCCTATTTGTCGTGAAATCAGGTTCGAATCCTTTGACCATTCTTTTATGTGCTTTCGCCTAGCACCTCTTCACTCTATCACCTTTCTCTTTGTTCTTTATCGTTCTCCTTCTTCCCATGATTGCACTCTTTTAGATGTTATCTCTGATCAAATTGACCATGCTCTCTCTCTTTACCCCTCTGCAAATATTGTTGTTGTTGGTGATTTTAATGCCTATCACACTGAATGGCTTGACTCTAACACCACTGATCCTGCTGGAGTAAAGCCTTTAACTTCTGTGTTTCTCAATCTCTTACTCAGATAGTTAACTTTGTGACTCGTTTTCCTGACAACCCTAATCATTTACTTTCACTCCTTGACTTATGTCTTGCTTCTGACCCTAGCTTATGTTCAGTTTCTCCCTTTTCTCCCTTAGGTGGTTCTGACCATGCAATGATCTCTATAAATCTTTCTTCTCGTACTTCTTTTTTGGGCTCACCTTATCATCGCACCACCTACTACTACCCTAAAACTGACTAGGATTCTTTTCGTGATTTTCTTTGTGATGGTCCTTGGGCTAATGTTTTTTCTCTCTCAGCTGACAAATGCGCCTCCTATGTAACCTCCTGGATTCAGGCTGGAATGAAAGCTTTTATTCCTTCGCGTCGGTTTTAAGTCAAGCCTCATTCTACTCCATGGTTTTCTCCTTCTTGTGCGGCTGCTATATCCAATCGTAATCATTTTTTTTATCTTTTTCAAAAGAACAACTCTCTTGAGAACAAACAGCTATTTATTATTGTAAGAAATCAATGTAAAAAGGTGCTTTCTGATGCTAAACTCCATCATTCTCAGTTCACTAAATCTCGCATCTTATCGCAGAAGTTAGGCTCTAAAAACTTTTGGAAAATCTTCAACAGCATTATTAACAAGGGTAGATCTAACATTCCATCTCTCATTCATGGGACTGATCTTATTACCTCTCCCAAAGATAAGGCAGAACTATTTGCAAAGAACTTTTTTTCTAATTCCACTCTTGAATCTTACGGAAATTCTCATCCTTCCATTCCAGTCAAACAGGTTGACCCATTGTTAAACATTCAAATCACTCCGGCTTCTGTTGCTAAAGTCATATCTCAATTAAACTCGTCTACAGCTTGTGGTCCAGACAACATTCCTGTCACAGTCTTGCAGAATTGTTCTCCAGAACTTTCTTCAATTCTCTCTAAACTATTTAACAAGTGTTTGACTGAGTCTTGTTTTCCTGCTTGTTGGAAAATGGCATCTGTGGTTCCAATATTCAAAAAATCTGGAGAAAATTCTGACCCCTCCAATTATCGTCCGATCAGTCTTCTTTCTGTTATTAGCAAGGTCTTTGAGTCTTTGATCAACAAATTCCTCACATCTCATCTCGAGTCAAATAAACTACTGTCAGACAATCAATACAGTTTTCGATCCTCTCGCTCTACGGCCGACTTGCTAACTGCTGTAACTGAAAGATTTTATCGTGCATTAGATGGAGGCGGTGAGGCTAGGGCTATTGCTCTCGACATATCTAAAGCTTTCAACAAAGTTTGGCATGCTGGTCTTCTCCATAAGCTTGCTTCATATGGTGTTTCTAGGAAAGTTTTTGAGGTTATCAAATCATTTCTTTCTAACCGGTTTATTAAAGTCATCCTTGAAGGCCAACACTCTTCTTTATTTCCAGTAACTTCTAGGGTTCCCCAAGGTTCCATCCTGGGCCCTGTTTTGTTTCTTATCTACATAAACGATCTTCCTAACAACCTTTCATCTAAAGTAGCTCTTTTTGCTGATGGAAAAAAACTTTATATTCCTGTCTTGACAAAAAGTCTTCTCTTTTCGATCGCCTAGAACAAGCAGCTGATCTTGAATCCGATCTCACTTTAGTAATAGATTGGGGTTCACAGTGGCTTGTGAATTTCAACTCTAAAAAAACCCAATTGCTTACTGCAAACAACTACTGTAATATGGTCAACATTCCTATATTAATGAATGGCAATCCTCTTACTGAGTCGTCCTCTTTACGTCTTCTTGGATTATCGCTTACTACTGATCTTTCATGGAAACCATATATACAATCGATTGCTAAATTAGCTTCTGCTAAGGTTGCTTCTCTTTATCGTGCTCGCCATTTCCTTACTTCTGATTCCATTCTCTACCTCTACAAATCTCTTATTCGTCCCTGTATGGAATACTGTTGTCATATTTGGGCTGGTTCTTCTAACGATTCACTTTCTCTTCTTGACAAGGTCCAAAAACGCATTGTAAATGTTGTTGGACCTGGACTATCTGCTAAGCTTGAACCTCTTTCCCATCGTCGTAAAGTTGCATCTCTTTCTCTTTTCTACAAATACTATCATGGTCACTGCTCAAAGGAGTTATCATCTCTAGTTCCATCAACTAAAATTCATTCTCCTTTTACTCGTCATTCAGCTAAGTCTCATTCGTTTACTGTATCTGTCCCTGCATGCTCTAAAAACTTTTATTCATCTAGTTTTTTTCCCTGCACTTCAATCCTTTGGAACTTTCTCCCATCTTCATGTTTTCCTGACTCATACAATCTTCAACTTTTCAACTCTTCTGTCAACCGTTTCCTTGCTCTATAACTCTGTTCTTTTTTTTCCTAGTAACTCCCAACTTAATAGTGGTTGCTTGCAGCCTTGTTGGGAGTAAATGCAAATAAAAAAAAAAAAAATAATAATTATATGCAATAAAAAAATCAAATTTAAAAACAGTTAAAATTGGAAACTGATTTGATAAACAAGTTGAATAAGCTATTTGATGTGGCCCATGCAGATTGTGACAGACTTATAAAAATTTAACATGATATAATGTTTCTACAAGACCAAAGAGAATAAAGGAAAATGGTAATGGGTACGAAAGATTTAGAATGTGAACAAAAACAAGTGTGAACATTTCCGAAAAAAACATTGCTAAAAAAAAGGCAACTGAAGTGAACAAATATACCAAGACAGGATTGGTGGAAAAAAATTCAGATTCAGAACATGAAGAAACTGGTGATGAGGAGCTATTTAGCAAGTATCACTAGCAAAAGACTAAAAAAACTGTTATATTAGAAAACCATCGAAACTCT